GCTGTGTGTGTGTTTACAGGCGGGGTGGGCCAAGAAGTGCGCACACCTGTCTGGATGGATATATAGAGGTGTGTGCACACCTGTGGGAGCCTGGAGGGAATGGAGAGGCCCTGGGAAGAAAGGGCCCCATGGTGGGGCAGATGCTCAGCGCCCGGCTCCAGGCTGTGAGAGCGAGACAGGCTGCAGGGTGCCCTGACGCCCTTCAGGACGGGACCTGAGCTCTGGCCACTGGAGAAGGAGCCAGCCAAGCTCTCTGGCCCCCACAGCCAGGGTGAAGAGGAAGGGCAAATGCCCCGCACCAGCAGGCACCGAAAGATGGCCCGGAAACTAGGTCAGCGGGGGAGGGGGGGTGAGCAGCCAGGATGGCCCGGCATGGGGTTGTGGCCCTGGTACTTGGGCAGTGGGCCCCCTCCCTCCTCAGCCTTCAGCTGACCGGCCCAGTATCACTCCCCTCTCCCTATCAGCCCTTCTCACCAGTATCTCCTCCGGACTCTCCCTGCCTCCCGGATGAGCCGCCGGATCCCAGCACCCTGTCTCCCCCACACAGCCCAGGGACAGCCTGGGCCTGTACAGATGGGGCGGAAGAAGCTGGCCTAGGCTGGCCTTGGATTGGAGGGTGCTGGGAGCTCAGAGGAGCCACCTGGGGTCCTGGGCATTCTCAGAGATGGGTCAAGGAGGGGAGCTCGGGAGGGAAAATGAAGATCCCAGAAGTCCTGACCCCTAATCTTGGCGCTGCCCCAAGACCCTCCTCACCTTGGAAGCTCATGGGGTGGCTGCCTGTGCCCCTGAGTAGCCTGACAGGGAGCTCCCTGCTCCTTGGGTGTTGCCAAGGAGAAATGACTTCTGGGAACTCTGGATAGGCCTGTCCCCCCTGAAGGGCCTGGGGGTGGGGAAGGCCTGGAGGAAGGAGGCTAAAAAGTTGGGGGAGGAGGGAACCCCAGCTCAAGAGGGTGAGCACACCAGCATGGGTGGGCTAGACGTGTTGCAGCAGAAGAATCTGGGGACCTCTCCCGGCCTCTCTGGAATGCCTTCTCCTCCATTGGGGCTCCTGGGACATGGGGGGGGGCGGTGCGGCCTGGAGGTCTCCGGGTGACTTCTGCCCTCCAGAAACGATCCACTTCTGGGATTGGCCTGCCCCAGGTACTGTCTCCCTGACGGCTGGCAGGGAGGAGGACGGGACGAGGGACATGTGGTTCCTGCCAGCCAGATGCTGTTCCCCACCCCAGCCCCTCAGCCTGCTGTTCCTGGCTGTGCCCAAGGCAGTTGCCTCCCAAGCCTGGCATCATTCACCAGGCTGACCAGGAGAGGGCGAGGAAGAGGAGGTGGCTGGGCAACTTGCCCAAGGTCACATGCAGGTCCTTCTGTGCTTTCTCAGAGGTCAGGGGATCCCTGGTATTTAGTCTCACCTCAGGAAGGCAAGGCAGCCTTTGGAGTAAGGAGATGGGCTCGACCCACCCAGGGCTGAGCAGATTCTGGGGCAGGGGGTGTGGGCGGTGGAGAGAAGTCTCCCCTAGGCACCTCCAGGCCTCCCCTCCTCCAGAGAGAGGCAGCCCATCCCAGCCCACCAAAAGGGCCTGCTCCAGGGGCGCTGCACCCCGTCTGCGTTCGGCTCTCGAGCACTGGCCACATACCTCTGTTCTGTCCAGGCACCTGTCAGCAGGAAGAGTGGAGAGGCAGGAAGCAAGGAGTGGCTATGCCCCTGCCCCCCACAACATACCCTAAGAGAACGGGCTTGGGGTCTTCTCTAATTCCCCAACCACTAACCCACCCCCCTCCCTGCCCACCATCTGCACTCCTCCTCTCCTGGGGCCTAGCTTCCTTGCCATCGGCCCCAGAGCCTAGCTGCCGACTGTAGGGACCACTGCTGGGCATGGTCTCCTGAGGGGCTGGAGGGCTGTCCAGGACCGTGGAAACCTGGGACAGTTGGGGTCTCACTGGGGGAGGGCTCTGGTCCCCTTCCTCCTTCCTCCCTCCTTCTCCTCTCCTCTCCTCTGGTACCCCAGCTTCCTGTTCTGATAGCACCCTGCTGCTCAGCCCAGAGGTGGTAATCCTCTCTCTAATCTCCTCCAGCCCCATCTCTCTTCTCTCCCCAGGGCCCCCACTGTCTCTGGAAATATTAGTCAGTTGGGGGATGGGTCATTGCAGCAGAGGCCAGCCTTGGGTCACCAACCTAGTGCAGTGGGATTTCCAGGTTTCTGCTTCATTTCCCGTGCCCATCTCTACTGCCCAGTCTGGTCTGCCTCTTCCCAGGTGCCCCAGCCCCTGTGCCAAGGGTGGCCTCGAGAGGCCAGAAATAGCCAACTTCACTCTTTATTTCCTCCCTCCTCCCCCCGGGGGCCATGGGAAGGCCAGCCCCCTCCCCACCACCCCCTCCTCCGTGCCCACCCTCTAAGCCTATTGTACGCCATTTCTCTCTTGCTGTCACTGGCTGACAGCTGAATCAGCGCAGTGGGAGGAAGAGAGAGTCCGGATTGTGCGTTCTGGGGGGCCGGGAAGGAAGGGTGTTAAGAATGTCACGAGGTAAGAGGAGCTCAGTAGCAAGCATGAACCCGCCAAGCTGCTGGCCAGCAAGGGGCCTGTCAGGGCCAGGCCAGGGCTGGAGACAGTGGGGTCTTGGAGCTGGGAGCCATGCCCCAGGCCTAAGGCATCCAGACATCCAATTGAAGAAGAGGACGTGGGCCTCCCCACCCCACCCCGCCGGGTGAAGACCAGAGACTGTCCGTCATCTATCTGTAAGTGTTCTGAGGCAGTATCAGGGTTGTGGGGGGGAGATCTAGGGGGACTTGGCGGCCTGGGGGAACCCCTAGATTCCTGCAAGTTGTTGCGTGGTCCACTCCCTGCTAGCTGGCCTGCCCTCAGGTCGGTGATAACTCAGCTCAGGGCTGTGGCTCAGGGCCTGGAAATGACCTTGCTGCCTTGGGCCTGGGCCTTTCCCTGCCACTCTGCCTCACACACACACCTGCCCCCTCGTCCCCTGCTCCCTCCATTCACCCCCCTCCTACCAGTCTGAGCCACAGCTGCTCCAGGCAGGTGTGCCCTGGGCTGGACCATGACCTCCCAGCCAGGATGTAGAGACCAGACACACCAGAGTCCCAGAAGAGGGTCAGCACAAGTGGCAAGAGGGCTGGGGAGCTTGGGAGATGTGTGGTCAGGGAAGCCCTAGCCCCTCCGCTATTCCAAGGGTCCAGGGTTAGATGCTGGGCGACCACTATCACACCCCCACCCCACCCTGCCCTGGGACGGAGCCAGGAGCATCGACCCCTGGTGGCAGCGGCAGCAGGTGCAGGAGGGCAGTGTGCAGCTGGGGTGTGCGTGGGTGGCAGTGAGGAGGGGCGGAGGGAGGGAGCTGGCTTCCTGAACCCCTTCTCCGCCTCACAGACAGACCGATAGACAGACAGCTGGCAAGACGCAGCCTGGGGGATGTAGCTGCTTCCGTGAGTACTGGGTGTGGGGTGTGGGTGCTGACCTGTGGCTCTGGGGTGGCGTGGAGCCTAGGGGAGACAGGCGGGCATCTCAGAGGAGGGGACACAAGAGGGCGAGCGTGAGTCTCAGTGCCCAGCAGGTGGGGTGGGGGCGCTGCTGACATATCTGGAGTCCCCTGGGCTACTGCCTAGAGAGCAGGTGCTGAGGAAACACCCGCCCCGATGAGGAGGCACCTCTCTACCACCCCCATATGCACCAATCAGCTCAGGGGGCCTCACCTCCCTGCCTGTGGGCCTTGCGCCTCCAATACCTCCCTGCCGCCCTGCTCAGTAGTGGGGCCCCATAAATTGGGACTGCGCCCCAAGAGGAGGTGGCTCAAGCACCCCTGCGCCTCTGCGGGCCCCCGGCTGCTGCTCAAGGGCTCCGTGAGGCCATTTCCTGTGACGGTTAGCGAGGCGGGAGGGGGAGGGGCAGCAGGAGGAAGGAAGCATCCCCAGGCTGCCTCCATGGATGGAGACCCCAGAAGCCAACCATGGGCTTGGGAGAGGAAGTGCCTGCCGGCAAGAGCAGGCCCACTCAACAAGGGGTCCACGGCCCAGAGTCATGGGTCCCCACTGGCTCCACAGCCGCCCGCCCTGAGAAGGAGGCACCCTGGCCTCAAGGAGGGCTCCAGAATGTTCTCCCGCTGTCTGTGCAGGACTCACACTGCACATTCCCTTGCTGGCTCGCTCACTCTCTCCCCTTCCGGTGCCCGTGTGGTGTGTGTGGGATCCAGGTACTTGGGTCACTGGCAGGAAGCTCCTTCTCCTGCTCTTGATTCCTTCCTGTCTGCACCCCCACTGTGTGCCTTTATCTCCCACTGTTCTCGGCTCTGGAGTCACACTGCAGAGAGCCTGTC